ACCAACCATAGAAGACCTGGAGGTCTGTACAGATAGGAAGTGACTAGGAGGTCATGTGGTTGGGTTTACAACCAATGAGAAGGCAGAACAGAAACTCTATAAAAAAAAAGACAGACCCAGGAAGTAGGTCTCTTTCGGAGAGGTAGGACCACCATGACAGTGAAGGGTAAGGTTTTTAGCTCTTAGCTATTGCTCTGACCTCTTGGCTTTCATCTCTGTATTGGCTCTGTGTTTTTAATTTAATAAGACAGTTGGTTACATCTACAGGGTTCATTGCCACAAGCCACAGGAAAGTGTAATGGAATTTGGTATTATGAGAAACACGATTACTTGGAATGGTCAAGGACTTTTCCAAAGGTCAAGCCATGGCTTAAGAGGTCTTGGTGATATTTTATCTTTTGTATATATATTAGCCAGTTTCTACAATGATTTTCTTGTATGCTATGTGTGCTTCCAAGAACTTCTCTGCCTAGCATCCTAGGCATAGTCTTGTTTCTTGTGCAAATGAAGCACAGACCCTCCTTTCTATCACAGCCCAAATGGCATTCCTGAGCAATTGACTCAGAACAAAGGGATTTTTGCATACCAGGTGCAAAGTAGCTTTGAGACAGATTTCCTGGCTCCCACCAAAGTTACCCCACCCTGCCAGTATATGGTGACACAGGAAAATAGAGGGAGTTTTATTTGAGTGACTTACAGAGTCATTTACCTAACCACCTGTAAGATTGTAGATTTTGAGCACATTTATGATAGTCTTGTAACGTTTCACTTAACCACGTATATGAATATATTATGAGCACATAAATTCCCTTTCTGACTTATTCCAGGCCTTATCTGACCCCACAACCTTCTCTATTCACTCCCCTTTTGGGTTGCAAATGAAGCTGAATATCATGGCTCTGGTAGGGAGCTTGGAAGCTTTTGCTTTGGATTGTAAGATCAGGCTGCTGGTAGAGAGAGACCAGCTGGATCAGCAGCAGTGTCTACCTTGCTGTGCTGTGAGTGTACTTTATAGATCTCAGTCCATAGTAAATATTACCTGGCCTCTTGCCTCAGTGTCCCACATTACAGTTGCCTTGGCCCATCATAGTCTCACCTGTTCCTGAAGACCTGCCTCCATAATCCTTTGTACACTCAGTCCTTGGATGATGTTGAAACCCTTAAAACTCCATCCTCTGCCTTGGATGTTCTGTGATCAGAGGGTTGGGACACCATGACTGGCTTGGGTGACTTCTTATTCAACATTACAGAGTATCATGGTATGAACATGTAGACACACAAAAGGTAAAATTTTAAAAGTGAGTAAAAAGAAGGTTTATAAAAGCAACCACAGTGGCAGGTAATGGTGGTTGATCACACTGTATCCTCAGTCAGGATCCAGAGTGATAAATGTTAGTCATTATTACATAATACAGTAACAAAACCATGGAATTAATTGGTGATATCATTTCTGAAAGGAAGAAGAGGCTTCTCATTTCAATGAACTTAATAAACAAACTAATCTCTCATATGCACACCCCAGAAAATAACATCATTTAGATAAGCCTGGGGAGAGAGCCTTGGAAGGGCACGCCCGCTTTTTAGGCTGGGACACCATCGCAGGCTGGTGACATAATAAGAACATAATCCTTACAGGTCACTCTGAAGGAGTGTCACTTGGCTGATTCTAGATCTTATCAGGTTGAAAAATCAGTATTAACCATCACACAAAACTAATAAAATTTCCTGTGTAGATAGAGAAAATGTTCCTTTTTTAGTGGTATATCAAGTATCAATGAACCATGTTGGAGGCCAAAGTATATAAAACCTTTTGAGTATGGACTTATTCCTTCCCCAGATGTAAGCAACAATTTTCTGAGGATTGCCAGGGCAGAATTATGAACCTCATGTAGAGTAAGGCACCGTGCAGAACTCTTCTGACCCATGCTTTTACCTTATTAAATCAGAACCCCACACAAGCCTCCTCAGGAACTGACTGATAATCTTGTTACCAAAGAAAAAGAGAGAAAGAAAGACAGAGAGACACTAAGAAGAGAGATACACACAAGCATAGGGAGTGAGGGGCTGCCTAAATATTCACTGAAATGGAACTTACAGAGTAACCAAAACTGGAACAAGGCCCTGTATCAATTCTTAAGTGTGGCTCTCCTTCACAAGACCACACTTTCCCACAATTCTTTCTTTCTACTAATATCTGTGCTAAATCTATGACAAGCATCTCATTTTACCTAGGTATGGTCACAAGAGGCAGAGGCAGATAGATCTCTGCAAGAACCAGGCCTAGCCTATCTACCACATAGTATGTTCCAAGGCAGAACAGATTAGAAAGTGAGACTGTAACTCAAAACAGACTCAGTCCAAAAAGCTCTACTTAATAAACTTTGGGGCTGTGAAAATGATATAACAGAGAAAGTAATCACCTTGCAACTAACTATCCCTTTACTTCTACATTATAAAGATAGTTGCCATGCGGGGGTGGTGCATGCCTTTAATCCCAGCACTTGGGAGGCAGAGGCAGGCAGATCTCTGTGAATTTGAGGTCAGCCTGGGCTACAGAGTGAGTTCCAGGGAAGGCACAAAGCTACACACAGAGAAACCCAAAAAACTAACAAACAAACAAAAAACCCCAAAAAACAAACAAACAAAAACAGTTGCAGCCATGCATGCCTATAATCCAGTGTTTTTAAGGTAAAATAAAAGGTAGACAGAAGAAATCCTGCAAGCCTATTTACATGTGATAGCAAACTAGAGACCCTGTCTCAAACATGCTGAAGGGAAAGGGCCGGCACCCAAAATTGTTCTCTGACTTCTACACCCAAGCCATGACACACACACCTTCCCACACAGAAGTGAGCACATACATACAAACAGTCATAAGTAAATAAATAATAAATTTATTTATTATTATTATCATTATCCAATTATTACAATTGAATGATATGGCACACACCTTTCATTCCAATTCTTGGTTGGCAGAGGCAGGCAGAGTTCTGGGAATTTGGGGCCAACCTTGTCCACATTCTGAGTTCAAGGACAGTCAGAGATACATAGAGAGACCCTATCTCAAAATAAAATTGCAACTTTGATTTGTATTGACTCATCCTGAAATCCTTTTTGAAATACACTCAAGTTTCCCAGCTTAAACCTGAGCGGAGGTCCTGAGGTTCAGGATAATAGTTCTTAATTTCAGGTGTCAGCCACTGGTCTCTGTCAAATAATTCATGGAAATGGATATAGCAAAGTAGGATAGCCAGTCAGATCTCCTTGAATTCAAGCCAGATTTGTCTACGTAGGGAATATGACAGTAATACATTTCTCAATGAAACACACACACACACACACACACACACACACACACACACACACACACACACACTCACTCACAAATAAAGTTGAATACAATTTTGTTTTTTGTTTGACACAAAGGAAATCTCAAGTTGGCCTAAAACTCACAGTCTATAGTATAATGAATAATATATGTTGAATATTTTGTAATAATTCCAGTAAACATTTCATGATATAACATGGGCTAAATATTCCAAGCTGAGCAGTTTTCTACATAAGAGGGAGCTTCCAAACAATTGTCTTTATATTTACATAAATATCAAGATAACGGGAAGTGGGAAAATTTTTATATTGTTTACATTCCCAGGGTGTTTTCCTCCACCATGGGAATTCATTATTCTATGAAATCAGTATCTATTTTTCTTAAACTTTTTCTAATTTAGAAACATTTTAACTACTTTATTTATAAATTATGATATTTGTTTGTTTGTTTGTTTTCAGTTTTTCGAGGCAGGGTTTCTCTACGTAGTTTTGGTGCCTCTCCTTGATCTTGATCTGTAGACCAGGCTGGCCTCAAACTCACAGAGATCCACCTGGCTCTGCCTCCCAAGTGCTGGGATTAAAAGCATATCCACCACCACCACCTGGCTGGGCAGTTTGTTTTAATGCTAAGACTCCAAATGTGGAAGCTGTAACAATACTCTTTAAAGCAAATATTCAAGCTACCAACTACCCAATGAAATTTTAAAAATGTCTTTTCTAAAATAGTTAGAAAATTTCCAAGTATTGTATTGAATTTTTTGGAGTACCACTTTATTTTTAATTTTACTGGGATCAAAAAATAAAAGAAGGTTGTTGACACAGAATTATGCTATCAGTTATTGTGCTATTAGCACAATGAGTGAAATAGCTGTTATTGTATGTTATAGGAAATAAAAAATGACCATAGTAGATTACTAGAATTTCGACTAATATCACAAGAGCAATTACACAAGCCTATATTTAATGTGATTCTATCAACAGTGAAGTTAGCAGTGTTTCTCATAATATTTCCTCTCTAAAGGGTAATGAATCATGTGCTGCCTTAGACAGGGTTTCTATTGCTGTGAAGAGACACCTGGACTGTTGCTGATTGGTAAATAAATAAATCACTGATTGGCCAGTGGCCAGGCAGGAAGCATAGGCGGGACAAGGAGGAGAATAAAGCTGGGAAGTAGAAGGCAGAGAGAAAGACACTGCCACCCATCACGATTACAAACAGCATGTGAAGATGCCGGTAAGCCACGAGCCACGTGGCAAGGTATAGATTTATAGAAATGGATTCATTTAAGCTGTAAGAAAAGTTAGCAAGAAGCCTGCCATGGCCATACAGTTTGCAACCAATGTAAGTCTCTGTGTTTACTTGGTTGGGTCTGAGCAGCTGCAGGACTGGCAGGGGAGATAGATTTGTCCTGACTGTGGGCCAGGCACACAGTGGCTTACTGGCATCTTCACATGCTGTTTGTCATCATGGCGACTGGCAGTGTCTCTCTCTCAACCTTCCACTTCCCAGCTTTATTCTCCTCCTTGTCCCGCCTATACTTCCTCCCTGGCCACTGGCCAATCAGTGATTTATTTATTGACCAATCAGCAACACATTTGACATACAGACCATCCCACAGCACTGGACCATGGCAATATTAATAAAGAAAAAACATTTAATTGAGGTGGCTTACATTTTCAGAGGTTTTGTCCATTATCATCATGGTGCAACATGGTAGTGTGCAGGCAGACATGGTGCTGGAGAAGGAACAGGGCATTATATATCTAGACATGCAGACAATAGGGAATGGACTTGAACACTGGACATGGTTTGAGCATATAATGAGACCACAAAGCCCAACCCCACAGTGACACACCAACTCCAACAAGGACATACCTATTGCAAACACAGCTATAACTCATAATAGTGCTACTCCCTATAAGATTATAAGGGGGTCAATTACATTCAGATTACCACAGGTAATAAGTATTACTCTTTATAAGGAAATATTATATGTCCTCCTGTGTAAGGAAACAGTAAACCCATACTGCTGAGAAAGACTAAAAGTATGTTTGTTTCTACACCATAATTTATTAGACCATGAAATATTCGGTGGGGCCCCCCTAAGGCCCCATGATAGATTACATAAAGTATTCAGCTTCCATTAAACCAATGTGCGAATAATGACAAAGTTGCTCTTTGTCCACGAATTGAACAGGAAGGCTAGTGAGGCACTTCTTAAATACAAGGCTTATTTTCTGAGATGCCTGTTCTAATAACTTTGCTTCTAATAACTTGTACAGGTTAAATTTTATTTTTCCCATTTTTTCAGATGCCTAATGAAAAGCCATGTCATTACTAATTCCAAGGCATCTTGGTGTCTTATTTATTATTCATGGTCAAACATATATGTGAATCAGAAGCTTAATTATATAGAGCATAGTCCTCACTGAAAGGGTCTTAGCTGATCTGCTCTAATTCCTGTTTCCTCATGCCTTATATACCTTTCTCCACCTAGTCATGTCTCTTCCTGGGATTAAATGCATGTGTGCTTCTTAGTACTGGGACTAAATGTGTGTGCCATCATGGCCTGGCTCTGTTTCCAGTATAGCCTTGGACTGAGATCCATAAGGATCTCTGCATCTGGAGTCATAGGACTAAGGGTGCGTGCCACTACTGTCTGGTCTCTGTGTCTAATCTAGTGACTAGCTCTGTCCTCTGATACCCAGACAAGTTTATTAGGGTACACAATATATCACTACATTTCCCCTTTTTTATCATTTCCAGAATGTTGAAAGTTGCTTACAATGCATTTCCTGTTTACTTAGGTAATATTATATCCTTCTGGGGTATTTGATAGAGTTGAAGATTAGATAGTTGCAATTTTCCTTAATTAATGATAAAAGATAAATTAGATATGAACCTTAGACTCACAAAAATAGGATAGATGATAGAAAAATTCATTTAATTTTGCCAAATATAAATGGACTAGATATTGTAACTGTGATTCTTGCTTGATAACTGTATGCTATATGTAATTTTACATTGTTAAAGTTAAAGTTTCCTATAGTATAACCTTCCTTTTTCATAAGACAGGAAAGGGGAAGTGCTGTGGGATGGCCTTTATGTATGCTGTGAATATGTGTTACTATGATTGGTTAATAAAGAAGCTGCTCTGGCCCATGATGAGTCAGGTTATAGATAAGTGGGAAATCCAAGACAGAGACAGGAAGAAGAAAGGCAGAGGTGGGGGGAGACACCATTCTGCTGTCCAAGGAGCAGCATGAAATGGAATATAGGTAAAGCCATGAAATACATGGTGACATACAGATTAATAGAAATGGGCAGAGTTAGCTAGCAAGAAGCTTGAGCCATAGGCCACAGCCACATAGTTTGTTATTAATATAAACCTCTGAGTGATTACTTTATAAATGGCTGCAGGACCTTGAGACAGGCTGGACAGGACAAAGGAAGATTTCCTGCTACAATAGCCTTAGACACACATGTAAATTAGCTCTGACAAATAAAGTTATAAAAAAATATGAGGACTAAGGAGTTGCCTCATACAATAAAGGCTGCTTCAACCAAGCCTAAAGACTAGTTTGATCCACAAGACCAATATATAAGACCACTCAAAAACTAGTTTGATCCACAAGACCTAATGACTAGCTTGATCCACAAGACCAAGATCCAAGGCCTCCAAAAATGCACTGTAAAAATGTGTGTATGCAAACTGTAGAATATTGAGCACATGCATTTACATTAACAAGACAAGTCATGTTCTTTTGCTCTTTCTTCCCCCTAATGATAGTACATTTTCTGGTACCCTATAGACATTACTTCTAATATCTGCTCCATTAATTTACACACAATCTTTCTTACAAACTCTCTTACCTTAAATGGCTTTTCTGAATCTTACTCAGAGGCCTCCCTAAGACTTTAATCAGCCCACTTAAGTTCCAATATTCAACTTGCTCTCTAGTAAACAAAAAAAGAGTAATATTAATGAACTCCTAGATATTTTCACTTCTCAATATTCCTAATCTTTAATTTTTCTTTGTATTTTGCATGCATATTCATATGAAGATGCAAATTGTGTATGGTGGGCAATGTTCATGAGTGGGCAAGAGGACAACTTTGGGTGTCATTTCTCTGGTGTCATCCTGAGATATGATTTAGGAATAAAGATCAAAGTTTATGATACCTGGAGTGGATACTACCCACATCCAAAGCATCCTTCTCTTTTTTATACCTCTGAACAAACTCATCAAGCTTGGTTAAAAGCCAAACTTAACAAAATACAGACATACTAGATACTAGATGCTTTCATAATCAAATATTGCAGTCTTGGAAAGAAAGTCAAATTACTTGAAAAGAGTAATTCTAAAAGATAAACTAATTGTGAGCATTTATTTGTTTGTTTATTTGTTTATTTTGATATTTTGTTTGCTTTCATTTTCACTACACAGCCTAGGCTTGCTCTTAACTCACAGTCCTTGTACTGTTTGGCTTTTCCTCAATATGACATAAGCTAGAATTACTTGGGAAAAGGAACTTCAATTATAGGGCGTTTTCTTGATTAATGAGTTATGAGGTAGGGCCCAGCCCACTGTGGACCTGTACTATTCTTGGGAAGGGAATTACAAATTCCAACATTAAATCATTTTTATTTAAAATTCAATTTCTAGGCTCCATCTACTAACTGGTATGAGTCAGAGTAACTCAGATGGTCTTGAGTAAGGTAGAGTAAACTCTTCTTGCCTTCCATACAAGTAGCCAAATTTAGTTACCATTACTCCACATTTGTTGTTTTTGTTTTAAAATCCCCCATATCATGCTCCCCCTCAATTGTGTGAATGGAACAAGGGATATGACCAAAAGCCCTCAGTCTCCACAGACTCTGTTATACAGCTTTCATTGACTGAGCCACTTTCAAGTCCAAGTCTACAAGAAGCAGTAAACCTAGCTCTTCTGATCTAACACTACCTTTTTAAAATTGATAGAAGTACATGACTTATAACCTCAGCACTCTCAACCTGACAGGAGAGCTGCCATGAATCAGTGGCCTCCCTGGGCTAGATAATAAAACAACAAAACAATTCCATTCAGGATTGTAAGGGCAGGCCTAAGACTTTCAAGTCCTTTGCAGCAAGAAAAAAATCACATTTGAGGTATCATTTTTTATTCCAAATTTCTTCTCTGTTGCTGTGATTAAATTATCTTACCAAAAGGTAATGAACAGATTTCTTTGATTGATACCCTAGGTCACAGTCCATCCTTGTGGGAGCATAGGATAAAATCTCAAGCTAATAAATGAAGACAGAACATGAGGAAACATTGCTACCTAGCTTTGTCTCTTGCTTTGCCACTGTCTGTCTTGTGCTAAACTAGTTCTCTTGTCCAGTCCAGGCCCACTTGGTTAGAGATATTGACAACTCAGTGGAAGAGTTTCAAACATCAATTGCAATCAACACAATCTCTCTCAGAGACAGTAATCAGATATTCTGATCTAGGCACACCCTAAATTGATGTTCCCTCAGATGACTCTAGGCTGTGTCATGTTGACAGTTCATGCTAATTAGGAAAAAGAGACAATATATATTATTGTATATGAGAAGGTTTTCAAGATCTAAAGCCAATATATGATTTATATCCAGTACTTAAGCAGCAAAACCACAGATATGTGACCCTTGAATACAGTTCCTCATGATGTGCTGACCCCCCAACTATAAAACTATTTTCACTGCTAGTTCATAACTATATTTTTGATACTGTTAGGAATTACAATATAATTAACTGTCTGTGCTTTCTGATGTCTTAGGCCAGTCCTGCAATAGGGTCATTTGATCTCCCAAAGAGAGCCATGATCTTGAGTGTTAAGAACCACTGCTCTAAACTGATATAAACAAGGAAAAAATGGAATGAAATTCTGAAACTGGGAAACATTCATAAATAGAAAAAAATTACAGTACTGCATTTAAAGAAAATAAATTTTTTTAATGATACCAATAATTGATGTTTTATAATGATAAAAATAATTGGAAAGGCAATTAGGTATACTGATGATGAAAGGGAGGAGGTAATACCCTGGTAGAGAGAATACCATTAAGAGACTCTATGACTCTGTTCCATGTAAAGTGTTAGCCACTGAGTGTTGTAAGCTAACACATGCAATTACAGCCAATGGCTTGAGTCTCAAACATCTGAGTGAACTGTGTCAGCCAGGATTGCACATATCTACATAGGAGAGTTCTCTAATTGGAAACTGAATACTGGGTAGTTCAAGCTATCTTCCCAAAACTGTATGCCCACCAATTCAGTCTGTCTTCATTTACATGGAAGGAAATAGTACATGCAGCAAAATTACAGAGAAAGTCACTCACCTGCCCCATCAGTCTTCTTTGTAATGGAGACCCCTGCAGCTAGCTCACTGCCTTCAACTTCAATCTGTGACCAAGCTATTGTCTAGTCTGTTTCCCCCTGCAGTGTACAGAGTACACTGTTCCTCTTCTTCTGGTCTGAAGGGAGAAGCCATGCCCCATACACAAATCCTTTCCCTGTTCTGAAATGGACAGTCCACTATGTGACTCAATCTGGCAACTTTAGAACTCTGTGGTGCTGTAGATGTAAAATACAAGATTTAGTGTGATTAGTCAGGATGACAACAGCGGCAATGTCCTGTGGGGCTACAGAGAGGGTTCAAGTCCACATCAATCAGCATGGAAGACCTCGACTCAAAACTGCTTTTCAAAAAGCCTGGAGAGGCCGCTGTTCTAGAATTAATATACCTTTATGGCACACTAGTACTTAATGTTGGTTGTGACCCTGTAATGGTCCCTTGAGCAGCATTTAGAGTCTGTTTTTTTGAGTGGATGGGCCTTTGTGCTGGTTGGAAATCAGGGTTGTCTCCTTTGTTATGGGAATGTAACTGGTTAATCCTGGGGAACAAACAAATTTCTAACCGCCATGGTTAGCATACTACTTATCTTTGTGGTATTTGTGATGCAGCCATCCTTTACCTAAATTCTACTTTGAATTAATGTCTCCTAAGAACTAGTAAGAATTTGTACCATCAAGTGCCACATTACACAGGAGATACTGTTTACAAGCTCCACAGAATTAACTCCAGATGGATCCGAAACTTAAATGTGAAGAGTTCACATTGCAATACTTTTGGAAGATAGGAGAGAACCAGGGCTCTCTGAGTTTGGAAATCTGTGTTTTATAGCAACAGCGTAAGCACTAAGGCTGTCCCCATTTCACAGTAATGTCAACAACAAGGTTATTTCAAAGCACAGTCCCACTCTCAATGCTCTGCACAGATGCAGACTGCAGAGTGAACTTACACAGAGGCTGCCAGCCAGCTCAGGAATTGCAAAGGCCCTGCAGGACAGGCAAGAACCTGCCCAACTCTCCATCCAGCTGCTGACTCCCACCCGCCAGAGGAGGACCAACCACACTGCCTCCTATGACTCAACTGGACGCTCCTCCCTTTTGGGGATAGGCCCATAGCTCACCATATCGTGGTTTTCCAGCTGGCCTATGCTCTCTACTCAGCTCCCTGCAGCAGCACTCGCAGCAAAGCACACAAAACCACTGGCGCCAGCTTCTCTTCAAAGCCAAGCCTGAAGCTGGTCACCGGAAGGACCCTGCACAAATTCTGACTGGCAGGTCACCTGGAGGGCCTGATTGGCTAGTGAGGCCTGAGTGACAAGAGTGACCTCCCATAGGGTTACACTGTGCTTAAAGATACAGCACAATAATTCCTGATCCTGCCTTCCACCCCAGACCCAGACCTTTTCTGAACCAGCAGAGAGATGCATTTCAATGGCACCTGCCCCTGGCTCTAATGCTCTCTTCCTGCCCTCTGTAGGTCCTTCCCCTTCATCCTCCTGGACACAATGTGGCCAGCTAGCTTGTACACCCCACAAAACTATATGGAGTGGAGTGATTCCCTGTCACACAGGTGGATGGATACCCAGAATATTAACAATTAAAGAGAGATTTTAAGCACACAAAAGGAGATGTTTGTTAGGTGGTTTCATGCTGAGGTCAGGTGAATTGAATGTACTTTTAACATACTAGTCCCAGGGACTTCAGACAATGAAGAAAGAAAAGCAGGAACTAGATCACAAACAAGATAATAGGTCTTTCTCCCCTCAGAAAGGTGGATGATGGCTCCATTGCTTAAGGAGTTTTTATTAGTGAAGTTCAGAGCAAAATGTTGGCAAATTGAATAATAATAAGGAGTAGTCTTCATGGAAAATTGAAAACTTGGGGAATAATGGAGTTAGGAAGAATGCATTTATGAGCACCAATTTAGCCAGCACATCTTCCTCAGTGGGCAAGTGAAAAAAAAGCACACTTGCATTATTCAAGCTTCTCTACATGGACAGGACTGGTGGAATGAATCTCTCCATATATGTACAAAGTTGATTTAATAGACTGTCTTACAAGCTGTAGTCCAGGTAGTCCAACAACGGTTGCCTACCAATGGAAATTTGAAGAGTCCAGTAGTTGATCAGTTCATGAAGCTAGATATTGCTCTTCAGTATACACCAAAATACCAAGGAAGTAGGTTCTAATGATGGTAAAGTTATGAACTTGGTCACCAGTACCAGCGCAAGAATGCAGAGATTGAGAGAGAGTGAGAGAGAGAGAGAGAGAGAGAGAGAGAGAGAGAGAGAGAGAACTTCCTCCTTCAATATACTTTACATATGTAAGCTACAAAAGGAGCTGCAATCCAAATTAAATGTAGATCTTAAACTTTCTTTGATTTTTTTTCTACTGAGTTCATTCCTCATGAACTGAACAACTACTGGACTCCTCAAATTTCCATTGGTAGTCAGACATTGTTGGACTACTGTGAAGGCCTAGACTTAACTTTACAGATTCAGGAATATGTGATGATAACACACAGAGCAGTATCCTCCTGCAGACATCCTGTCGGCTGTTTAAAGGAAAGATTAACAGGATCCAGATAATCCTGCAGACAACCTGTCTGCTGTTTATACAGAAAAGGAAAGCTTAACAGGTACCTGTCTCTGGTTTATGGCCCTTGGAGATATCTAGATAATCCTCCTAAGCAGTCCAGATAATCCTGTTCAGTGGGTTGTGGTTCCCCCCAAAAGTCTAGACAAATAGTTTCAAAAAATCACCTTGCCCCTTCTACCCAATCCCAATGCCAATTCCGGGCTTGTCGTTTTTCGCTATAAAAACCCTGTACACCTGGGCTCTAGGTATTTCCTTCCATCTGCCATGCAGTGGTGAAGGTAGAACCTGAATAAAAGAACCCTTATGTGCTTGCATCGGAAACTGGCTCCTTGATGGTGTCTGGGGGTTTCTCGAAACAGGTACAACACTACCTGGACCACAGCTTGTAACACATTCTTCTAAATCAACTTTGTATATACATGGAGAGATTCATTCTACCAGCCTTGTTCATGTAGAGAAGCTTGAATAATAAAGTTGTGTTTTGTTTTGGGTTTTGGTTTTGTTTTGTTTTTGCTTGTTTGTTTCTTTTCATTTTTGTTTTTGTTTTACTTGCTCACTGAGAAAGATGTGCTGGCTAAATTGGTGCTCATAAATGCATTCTTCCTAACTCCATTATTCCCCAAGTTTTCAATTTTCCATGAAGACTACTCCTTATTATTATTCAATTTGCCAACACTTTGCTCTGAACTTCACTAATAAAAACTCCTTAAGCAATGGAGCCATCATCCACCTTTCTGAGGGGAGAAAGACCTATTATCTTGTTTATGATCTAGTTCCTGCTTTTCTTTCTTCATTGTCTGAAGTCCCTGGGACTAGTATGTTAAAAGTACATTCAATTCACCTGACCTCAGCATGAAACCACCTAACAAACATCTCCTTTTGTGTGCTTAAAATCTCTCTTTAATTGTTAATATTCTGGGTATCCATCCACCTGTGTGACAGGGAATCACTCCACTCCATATAGTTTTGTGGGGTGTACAAGCTAGCTGGCCACATTGTGTCCAGGAGGATGAAGGGGAAGGACCTATAGAGGGCAGGAAGAGAGCATTAGAGCCAGGGGCAGGTGCCATTGAAATGCATCTCTCTGCTGGTTTAGAAAAGGTCTGGGTCTGGGGTGGAAGGCAGGATCAGGAATTATTGTGCTGTATCTTTAAGCACAGTGTAACCCTATGGGAGGTGCTCTTGTCACTCAGGCCTCACTAGCCAATCAGGCCCTCCAGGTGACCTGCCAGTCAGAATTTGTGCAGGGTCCTTCCGGTGACCAGCTTCAGGCTTGGCTTTGAAGAGAAGCTGGCGCCAGTGGTTTTGTGTGCTTTGCTGCAAGTGCTGCTGCAGGGAGCTGAGTAGAGAGCATAGGCCAGCTGGAAAACCACGATATGGTGAGCTATGGGCCTATCCCCAAACTGGGAGAAGCAGCCAGTTAAGTCATGGGAGGCAGTGTGGTGTGTTCTCTCCTGACTGGGTGGAAGCCAATGGCCAGAGGCAGAATGCGGCTTGTTCTTGACTGCTCCTGCATGGTCCATTGTGGTCCTGCTGGTCCAGCATGATCCATTGTAGTTCTGTGTCGTCTTTGCATTTCCTGGGCCAGTTGGCAGCCTCTGTACTTCACACCACAGGTTGGAGCTGTACAGAGCATTGGGAATGGGACTGTGCTTTGAAATAACCTTGTTGTTGACATCACTGTGAGATGCCGCTGCCCTTAGTGCTTATGTTGCTGCTATGGAATAAAGATTTGCCAAATTCAGAGAGCTGTGGTCCCATAATTTCCATATCTTCCAGAAGTACTGCAGTTTGAACTTTTCACATTTAGTTTTAGGGTCTATCTGCAATTAATTTTGTGTAGCTTGTAGTCAGCATCTCCTGTGTGAAATAGCACTCTACTACTAAACTGTGATGTAGAGAAGTAGAATTGATGGTATGGAAATGATGGTACAAGGTCTTACCAGTTGTTAGGAGACGTTAATTCACAAAATACAATATAAACAAGGGAGGGCTGCATCACAAATAACCCAAAGATACTAATCTTACTGCCTAGAAATTAGCATAAGGTGTAATTTTTTGTTACCCCGGATTAACCAGTTACATTCCCATAACTAGGAGAAAATCCTGATTTAAAACCAGCATAAAGGCCCATCCACAATTAAAAAAACAGACTCTAAATGCTGCTCAAGGGACCATTACAGGGTCACAACCAACATTAAGTCCTGGTGTGCCATAAAGGTATATTAATTCTAGAACAGCGGCCTCTCCAGGCTTTTTGAAAAGCAGTTTTGAGTCGAGGTCTTCCATGCTGATTGATGTGGACTTGAACCCTCTCTGTAGCCCCACAGGACATTGCCGCTGTTGTCATCCTGACTAATCACACTAAATCTTGTATTTTACATCTACAGCACCACAGAGTTCTAAAGTTGCCAGATTGAGTCACATAGTGGACTGTCCATTTCAGAACAGGGAAAGGATTTGTGTATGGGGCATGGCTTCTCCCTTCAGACCAGAAGAAGAGGAACAGTGTACTCTGTACACTGCAGGGGGAAACAGACTAGACAATAGCTTGGTCACAGATTGAAGTTGAAGGCAGTGAGCTAGCTGCAGGGGTCTCCATTACAAAGAAGACTGATGGGGCAGGTGAGTGACTTTCTCTGTAATTTTGCTGCATGTACTATTTCCTTCCATGTAAATGAAGACAGACTGAATTGGTGGGCATACAGTTTTGGGAAGATAGCTTGAACTACCCAGTATTCAGTTTCCAATTAGAGAACTCTCCTATGTAGATATGTGCAATCCTGGCTGACACAGTTCACTCAGATGTTTGAGACTCAAGCCATTGGCTGTAATTGCATGTGTTAGCTTACAACACTCAGTGGCTAACACTTTACATGGAACAGAGTCATAGAGTCTCTTAATGGTATTCTCTCTACCAGGGTATTACCTCCTCCCTTTCATCATCAGTATACCTAATTGCCTTTCCAATTATTTTTATCATTATAAAACATCAATTATTGGTATCATTAAAAAAATTTATTTTCTTTAAATGCAGTACTGTAATTTTTTTCTATTTATAAATGTTTCCCAGTTTCAGAATTTCATTTTATTTTTTCCTTAATGCTCTTTATTTTTTTAATCTATTTGCTTATATCAGTTTAGAGCAGTGTTCCTCAACATTGGGGATCTTGGCTCCCTTTGGGAGATCAAATGACCCTCTCACAGGATTGGCCAAAGACTTTCAGAAAGCACAGACAGATATCTATACTTTAATTCCTAGCAGTAGCAAAAATATAGTTATGAACTAGGAATGAAAATCATTTTATATTTGGGGTTTACCATATCATGAGGAAGTATATTAAAGGGTAATAGCATTAGGTAGGTTGAGAACCACAGGTTTAAATGAGTATCTCTTGTAGCTCTGGCTTGCCTTACACTATGTAATTGAGAATTGCTTTGAACACCTACTCTTGCCTCTGCTGCCCAGTGGTGGAAAGACAGTCCTGAACTCCTTCCCAGCTGGGCCTTGACTGGTTTGTGGAAGTCAATAATATAGCAGTGAATGAGCATCCTTCAACTTCTCTAGATTTTATTGTCAATTTACAAATGAAGTGGGGCCTGTGTAAGAATTGAGTTCACTGGACAATTGTAAAGCAGGTGTAGTCACAACAGAGGAAGGGATGGGCACAAAAGAGCATGAAAGCTTTCCTACTATGACTGTAGTTGACATTAACAATGAGTAATTAGTTAATCCATTTTAGATGATCAATAAATATTTTGACCAGACATTTCTTGAGTCCATAGACTAGGCTATCTAGACTCTGGATAAAAAACTGAATTTTCTTTCTTTCTTTCTTTCTTTCTTTCTTTCTTTCTTTCTTTCTTTCTTTCTTTCTTAAGATTTATTTATTTATTATGTATACAGTGTTCTGTCTGCATACCAGAAGAGGACAGCAGATCTCATTATAGATGGTTGTAAGCCACCATGTGGTTGCTGGGAATTGAACTCAGGACCTCTGAAAGAGCAGCCAGTACTCTTAACCTCTGAGCCATCTCTCCAGCCCCCAGAACTAAATTTTCATAAAACTAAATTACTATAGTTATACCAGTTCAAACTATGTAGTAGAACTGGATAAAATGATGTGTCCCTGCCTAATATGAATGTGTTTTCCAGGTTTAAGATGTATACCCAGAGAGAAATGATGTGAGTAGTACTTGGTGTGCTCTAATACAAACCCCTAGTCTCTGGAGCACATGGCCATAAAGCCTGTTTCAACTTTTTACCAGAATTATTTGGAATTATAATTATATTATTTCCACACTCTTATTTCCTGCCTCCAACCCCTCCCATAGACCCTTGTGTTTTCATCTGTGGCCTCTTTTTGTTTAACAACAGATACTGGTTGAATGTGACCTGTGTTTGTTTGGTTGCAGGACCTCCCAGCTATGAAATACAGGGTGGGTTACACTGGACATTGAGTGTGTAATGGAATGTGCACACATAGGACCCTGTGCCTTGGAAGAGGAACAGAAAGGGTTCTGGGAGGTTAGAAGGCTTTTCTAAACTACAAAATTTTCAGATTAGTGTCCTGTGCATCCAGCCATAGTGTGGAAGGACCAACCTGGGAGAGTTTTTGCTCTCTGAGTCATTAGATCTCTGCTCACCCAGTAGCGGAACTGCTAGTGTCCTGAAGCCCAGCTGGGTGATCCTAGCTAATGAGGGACTCTGAGAAGGCTTAGCAATCAGGAGTCCCAATAGGAGGTAGTTTACAGGTTCTTTTCAGGATTCTTTTCTTGTTCTGCTGTAGGGAGCTGTAAGGAAGACCACAAGCCATACCATGGCGAGTGTGAGGGCCACTGTCCCCAGACCAGGAGAAGCAAGTTGGCTGAGCTGTCAAAGCTGCTTGGTCCGGGATGGACCATGAGCCAGATTGAGGTTCTGTTTGTCCCTGTGGTGACCTGTGTAGTGTCCCTTGGCCTCTGAGCTTTGTTGAATATGGATTCCCTGGGAGGGGAAGGCTTTGCCATCTGGGTATGGGAGACCATGAGCTTGTAATATCATTGCCTCCTGCTATGTAATTGAGTCTTGCCTCATGCTATGTAAATGAGAATGCTTTGAACACCTAATCCTGCCTCTGCTGCCCAGTGCTGGGTAGACAGTCCCACAACATCTTCCATCTTTGCCTTGACTGATCAGTGAGAAGGAAAACTAAACCAGTTAATGAGTGACCTCCAAACTCTGTGGCTTTTAGTGAGGACTTATAAATGAAGAGGGACCTGTGCAAGAATTGAGTGCATAGACCAACTTTGAAGCTAGTAGAGTCACAGTGCAGAAAGGGAGAGGCAAGATGGTGGTTGAGAGCTTTCCTACTTCAACATTACTTGAGATTAGCAATGTGGAATTAGGAAATCAATTTTAGATGCTCCATAAATGTCCTGATTGGCCATTTCTTGGGCTCCACAGACAAGGGCAATCAAGAATCTGGATAAAAGACTGACTTTATCATGAAACCAAATTGCTCTAGTTATAGCAGTTCAATCAAGATAAATCTGGGTCAAATGTGGCCCTGCTTAACAGGACTGTTGTTTTTCTGGTTTTACATGTAGTTCCTTAAATAGAAGGCTTGAGAAATCTTTGATGTGCTCTAATACAGATTGCTAGACTCTGGAGCACCTGGCCATAAAGTCTGCTTAAAATTTTCAAAATATTTTTTGAGATTATAACTACATCATGTCCATGTTCACTTTCCTTTTCCCCTACTATGATCCCTCATCTTTTTCTAATTCATGGCCTGTAACAATAGTCACACAGTAACAAGATTTACTGTGTGAATGTGACCTGTGTTTGGCTGCAGGACTTGCAGCTAAGAGGTAATGGGTTGGCTGCACTTCACATTGAGTGTGTAAAGGAATGTGCACACAAAGAACACTTGGCTTTGGATGAGGAACAGGATGCACTCTAGCAGAGTTGAAGAATGTCTATTAAAATATATTCTTTGTTGACTAGGGTCCTATCTTTTGAGTTGAAGGGCAGATTTGGAAGGACTGTGTTGTCTGACTCATTTGATCTCTGATCAACCAGCAGGACACCTGCTAATATTCTGAGGCCAAGATGGGTGGCTCTAGCCTTTGACGACTCTGGGAAGGCTTAGCAATGAGGGGTACTAGTGGCAAGTAGCTGGTAGATTCTTTCTAGGCTTCTCCTCTGTGTCTGTTGTAATGAGTTGCAAAGAAGAAGACAAGCTATACCATGGTGAGTGTAGGGTGTTCAGAGAAGGTCTGCTGAGCTGACATTTCTGCTGGGGTTGGATGGACCATGAGCCAGACTGTGGTTCTGTTCACCCATGTTGTGACCTGGGCAGTCATCTTTGTCCTCTGAGCCTACCTGTGTATGGAT